CTTCCCTTTTTAATTAAGGAAACCAAATGTAAAGCTACTCTGAGAAAATGCTCTATTTGTAAGTTCAAGCATCCCAGTTGCATAATGTCAGAACTGATTTATTTTTTCCACGGAACTTTATTCACTTCCCTTACACATGCAGATTGTGGTGCTATCTATAATGTTCAGATCAACTTAAACTTACAAGGCTTGGAAAATCTGAAAGTGGAAAACATTCCTTTCACTCCTGTGTTAGATCAATTAAAGATAACATTTCATCAGCTAATACTAAGATGATGGCATAAATGTCAAGGAGCACAAGAATAGATAATTTTCCATAACTTGTTACCAATGCAGTATTAGAATAGTTCAGTTGGAGGGGACCTTTAAAGACCATCTAGCTCAGCTGCCTGACTAGTTCAGGGCTAACTAAAAGTTTAAGTGTGTTATTGAGGGCACTGTCTAAATGCCTCTTGAACACTGAAGGCAATGGGGCATTGACTACCTCTCTAGGAAGCCTGTCCCAGTGTCTGACCACCCTCACTACTACATTCCTCATACAATTCTGTGAGAAGTTTCCACCAAAATAATAGGTGAGTTTTGTATGTTACAGAAAGTGTTGTTTGGGTGATTCTATACATGGAACATGGTAGAGATCTAAGCAAACTTACAAATTGATTAAAAAAAAGTTTATAAAATTCAGACTATTCTGCACACAAATAAAAACCATGACCAGTTAAGGCTCCTTTGTAAATATTTTCACCATGACAGCCCCTTTGACACTACTTTTACCTACCCTATCAGCTTCTTCTGCTGTTTCTGATGGAAGTTCTTTAATGATCTGGTGCAGCCTGAGCATTCTGAGAGACCTGTTTGTAGCTTGGTCTGATATAGGTACAACGCCTTCCCATTAGCAGCTGTAATAATATCATCAGGGAAAGCATATTTTATTACCATCAGTGAGGCTGAAAAAAATGACATTAGGGTATTGTCATTTGTAACATGAGGCTTATTTAATTAGATACATGAGTACTGGGAGAATTCCCCAAATGAAATACATTTGAGACAATTACTAGGTACACAACATGAAGTGCTTGAGAGCTCTGATCTCCAGACACCACCCTCAACACATATAAGGACACTCTTATTCTATATAAATGGTTAACTTGGATGTTTCTTAATTTGGGTTGTGAAGGGAAGCCCATAATTATTAATTTTGATGGAAAATTGCTTTTTCCTTAGGATTAGATAATCAATAGCATTAGTATCAGAAAAGGACTCTCTAAGAACTCAAGAATTTTGGTTGCAAAACCTTTTTGAATGTTAAAATTAAGGACTGCCATAATTACTTTTAGGTAATCTCATAAAAAAGGTGGAAGAATAAAGCAGTTTAGTTCTTTAAATAATAAAACAGTGTAGTTCTTTGTATTTCCAAAAACTGGTGTGTTAGAAATATTCCACCTACCTCCAATAGCATTCTCCTTCATATGTCCTGCACCTATGCATTTTTGTCAGTAGCAAGGGTCAGTTCTTTATGATATTTCTTGTTTTCCTTCCTGAAATAACTCCTCATGCTAGAAAGACCAGATCCTTCTGAATTTCCCTGTACTTCAAAATAGCTTTAAAGTTTGTCTTTTTGACTCTTTTTTCTAAAACCCAGTACAAAACTCAGGCCCTAATGCCACTGGCCAAACCATGTCTAAACAGAGGGCTGGTCCTGTTTTCCAGAGGAATTCACACACTGTTTTTCCAGTCTGGAATAGCATGAAAAGGTTACAGCACCCTTGTTCCTTAGAAGCTGCACACAGATTTTCCGAATCTGGTAGTGACGTAGGTGGCATCTAGGTAACTACTGCAGCACTGCTAAGTACAAACCAGTACAGAAAGGCATTGAATGCTAAGATTTTGGCGTTCCCATCATACAGATACCACGAGCTTTTAAACAGGAATAGCACCAATCTGGTCCTGTGGAAGTGCACTCTGGCAGCGCATCCTCTGGCTTGATTTCCCCTGCAAGACACCCAGGACTATACGACTACCCACAGTGCAAACCAAAGTGTGATAAATAGGAAGAATCAAAAGCTTCACTTCAAAAAGTAATTTCTGATCTAAAATAAAATGCTACCAAAGATGCAGCCATGCCTTCTAACAAAACAAGGCCATCACCTGTCACAGGAACAGAGGCTGAGGTTTGGATCAGAGGGTAACTGGAAGGAATGTCTGATGTGGTTACTAACGGTCACTCTTTTATTTTTACCATGTATGGCAAATAAACTAATGTCAGAGACTTTATTCCTACCAAAGATAAAATTTAAAATATGAACATTTTCCTCAGGTGTTTTGAAAGCATAAATGTAGCAGATACTTAAAATGGGCATATCGCTTACACGAGCTGTTGTATGCACTAATGAAACTGAAAAATTACTTTTAAGGACTTTTAATTATTTTTTAAAAAGACTGTTTGCATTGCATAATACTGCAAAATTTGAAAAACAGAACATAGCCACAGCATGGAAGAATATACTCTAGGTATGCCGAATGAGTTGGAAGCTCATGTAAGAAGTGTGACACATATCTTGGAGGCTTGTGCACCTCTTCCACTGGGGACAATCCTCATTGGAAATTTAGGATCTTGCTCAAATCTTTGTTGTTTGCACACAAAAATCACAATGCCACTTAAAGCAAAATTAAAGTTCTGACCCTGAAAACTCAACATAATATTTTATTCTTAACACAGTGATCAGAGTAAGCTAACCTCAGACAGGGATACACATAGGCAATTGCAGTAAGTATTCTTCTTCGAGGTTAAAGCCAAGGAAATAATGCTCTACTCAACACTGACAGGCCCAACTTCTTGGCAGAACATACTTTCACAGTTTATTTCATTACTAAAAAAGAAGAAAAAAAGACCCTCAGACAGCTTCAGGAAGGCAGACCACAGAAAGCAGACAGAACATGGCGTGGGTACAGCAGAGGGTCGAGGAGGAAGGTGGAAATCAACACAGAGGAAACACAAAGAGGGGCTGCCAAATGCAGCTATGTGCACGGTAGCTGGGATTTATTTATTTTTTTTTATTTCACCAAGAATAAATCACTGAATGGTTTAATACTGATTTAGAGCAGCAAAGTTTAGGGCCGGAGGGCAGACCCGGGAAACTACAGGCCTGTCAGTTTGACCTCAGTGCCAGGGAAGCTCATGGAGCAGATCCTCTTGGGAGTCATCATGCAGCACTTGCAGGGCAAGCAGGCGATCAGGCCCAGTCAGCATGGGTTTATGGAAGGCAGGTCCTGCTTGACGAACCTGATCTTCTTCTATGACAAAGTGACGCACTGGGTGGACGAGGGAAAGGCTGTGGATGTGGTCTACCTTGACTTCAGCAAGGCATTTGACACCATCTCCCACAGCATTCTCCTCAAGAAACTGGCTGCTCTTGGCTTGGACTGGCGCACGCTTCGTTGGGTTAGAAACTGGCTGGACAGCCGGGCCCAAAGAGTCGTGGTAAATGGAGTCAAGTCCAGTTGGAGGCCAGTCACTAGTGGCGTCCCCCAGGGCTCGGTGCTGGGGCCGGTCCTCTTTAACATCTTCATCAATGATCTGGACGAGGGCATTGAGTGCACCCTCAGTAAGTTTGCAGATGACACCAAGCTATGCGCATGTGTCGATCTGCTCGAGGGTAGGAAGGCTCTGCAGGAGGATCTGGATAGGCTGCACCGATGGGCTGAGGTCAACTGTATGAAGTTCAACAAGGCCAAGTGCCGGGTCCTGCACCTGGGGTGCAATAACCCCAAGCAGAGCTACAGGCTGGGAGAGGAATGGTTGGAGAGCTGCCAGGCAGAGAAGGACCTGGGAGTGATGGTGGACAGTCGGCTGAATATGAGCCAGCAGTGTGCTCAGGTGGCCAAGAAGGCCAACGGCATCCTGGCTTGTATCAGAAACACTGTGACCAGCAGGGCTAGGGAGGTGATCGTCCCCCTGTACTCGGCTCTGGTGAGGCCGCACCTCGAGTACTGTGTTCAGTTTTGGGCCCCTCGCTACAAGAAGGACATGGAGGTGCTTGAGCGGGTCCAAAGAAGGGCGACGAAGCTGGTGAGGGGCCTGGAGAACAAGTCCTACGAGGAGCGGCTGAGGGAGCTGGGCTTGTTCAGCCTGGAGAAGAGGAGGCTCAGGGGCGACCTTATCACTCTCTACAGATACCTTAAAGGAGGCTGTAGCGAGGTGGGGGTTGGCCTGTTCTCCCACGTGCCTGGTGACAGGACGAGGGGGAATGGGCTTAAGTTGCGCCAGGGGAGTTTTAGGTTAGATGTTAGGAAGAATTTCTTTACTGAAAGGGTTGTTAGGCACTGGAACGGGCTGCCCAGGGAGGTGGTGGAGTCACCATCCCTGGAAGTCTTTAAAAGACGTTTAGATGTAGAGCTTAGGGATATGGTTTAGTGGGGACTGTTAGCGTTAGGTCAGAGGTTGGACTCGATGATCTTGAGGTCTCTTCCAACCTAGAAATTCTGTGATTCTGTGAAAGTTGCTCATTGCATTGCAGTATGGCCAGCAGCACCCAAAGCTAGGGAACCACTGAGACACCCTCTAAGCTCCCATAAGCCTGGCTGTGTGCAAGCCCAACACCTGCCCGCACAGGAAAAAAAAAAAATAAAATAAAAAAAAAAAAGAAGAAAGAAAGAAAAAGCAAAATAAAAATAGCCCCAAATCCACACTCCTGGATTTGTGGATTCCTGGGAGAGGAATGAAGGGGAACCTGCCTCATCCCACCAGCAACAGGTGGCCAATCTGTCCCTGTCCCTGTCCCTGTCCCTGTCCCTGTCCCTGTCCCCTGTCCCCTGTCCTCTTGTCCCAGTCCCCTTCCCTCTTCCCCTCCCTGCCCCAGCCCTGTCCCTGCCCCTCCCTCCCCCTCAGCCACAAGCCCCGCCCCTCTCCTCACGCGCGCCAACCCCCAGCCAATCCGCGCCTCCCCTCTCCCACCTCCCCGCCCCCTCAGCCCAATGCCTCCTGGGAGCTGTAGTTCCCCGTGGGGGCGGGGGCGGAACTACAACTCCCACCGCCGCCGGCCGGCTGAGGGAGGCTGAGGGGAGGCGGCGCCATTTTGCGAGCGAGGCCCCGGCCCCGCCGCCCTCCGCAGCGCCGGCCGGGGGCGCGCTGCTTTGTGAGGCGGCGGAGGACGGCCCCGAGGTTGGTCTCCTCACCCGCATGCGGCCGGGGCGGCGAGAGGGGGTCGGGGAGGCCGAGGAGGAGCCGGGGGCTCCGCCTGAGGGAGGTGTGGGGTCGGGGAGGGAGCGGCTGAGGCGCGGCCCCCCCCCCCCACCTCACCCGCAGGCAGCCGGGGGCTGAGGGCCGTGCCCTCGTCTGTAAGGTGTGCTGCGTGTGCCCTGCCTCTTCACATCGGGGAATTTATTGGAGTTTAGGGCTTGTCGTGTGACTTTGGGGGGTTTGGCAGGTTGAATCCCGTGTGCGTCCTGTGTTTAACGCCTCCAAACGTTTTCTTACAGAATTCTGACAGACCTGCGTGTCCAGTCTGCATCCCCTTCAAAGGGCAAGGCCACCACGTAGGTTGGGCTCGCTACCTGCCTGCTCAGCCTGTACTGCCCTCCCTGAGTGTGCAGGTGGAAATGTGTTCACATGCAATGCCTTTGGCCCAAGGGGTAGGCAAAGCGAGTCAAGGTTAGCCAGAAAAGGGTATATTCCTTGGGCGGTGTGGTCACAGAGCTCTATCCTCCATCATTAGAGAAATTCTCACGCAGACGTGCTCCCTTTTTTCATTCCATACCAAAATACATGCTCTGCCTAAGCCCCATCCCAGAAGAGAGAGAAGGTTAAAAACTAATAAAGCAACATTTTTTTTCCACCCATGTTTTCGAGTGGAGGTAAGGTAGCATTTTGGGGAGATGGAGAATAGAGATGTAAGTCATACTTTCTCCTTAGCAGAAAGGAAAAACTGAGAAGCAGTAAAACGGTTCCTATCTATTGAGAGGAGGTGAGACCATGGAACCCAGAGCATTGTTATGCCAACTCCAAGCAAGAAGGATAGTTGCGTGGCCTCATTTCTCCCCATTCTGACATTAGCACTCTCTTCTGATTAATAAAGTTAAATATAAACCATACAATCTTCACTTAGACGTTTGGGAACTGAAGACGGCATTTTTTTTTTCTTTTGTTTATACAGTTGTTGAGAAAGTGTCCAGATTAACACCTTTTCCTTCAAATTTTGCAAGTGAACATGAGGTGATAAGTGTTACTTACAAATCTTCGCGTGATACTACCTGCGGGTCCCTTTCAGGCAAAGGAGAAAAACTTTGTTTCTTGTCCAGAATAAGGAACATGCAACATTATATTAATATTCACTCCTAGAAAGCTGAAATGTTTCAAGGTTCACACTAGTAGAACAAACCCTCTGGTAGGAGATGTACTTACTTTCTTATTTAATATTGCATTTTTTTATTATTTTTTTAAATGAAAGGTTTGCTGAATAAGCTACTTAGTCACTGTATTATAAATTAAGTGCTGTTGCTTTTTATTGCATTCTGTCTAGAACTTCAGAGTGCAAAGGAAAATGTAAATACACCTATTAGGGAGACAGAGAATGGATGAGGCAATGGCATGACTGGGTGTCACGCTGGTCAGCACTGTTTTGCTGTATGTTTTTAATTGTTCTCATCCCGTCTGTCCTTTTGGAGCTTACTGGCTCATTTTTATGTTGTAATCCATTTGGTGCATTGATTGCCGTTTCAGTTTATTTTTACAAACACGCAACCTAACAAAGGTCTTTAGTTGTTCCAAAAACAGAAACATAATAACAGATTGCGGATTTAATTTTAAGTCTTTATTTAACTAGCACCAAATTATAAATGCCATCCAGCATCTGTTTGATTGGTGTTAAATGGAATAGCTGACTCCAGTTCCCATCACAGAAAAATAATCCTTGTGACTGAAGCATTTGCTTTTTCGTTGGCTGTTTTAGTGGTGATGTGAGGCTTCAGCATGCACTGGAGTTTGGCACATGTTTGTCCTATAATACAGATTTATGACACTTTCCAGATTCACATAGGTCAGTGGAGGACAGATGTTGTTGATCTGACTTTTTTTGCCCCCAAATATTAAATTCACATAAAAAGCATGATTTGTAAATTAAGTTTAAGTAAGTATGAAGTTTGACTTCTGGACTGATACAGCTCTAACCTGTTTCTCAGGTAAAGATGTTCGGTAGTGTGGGTTTTTTGTTTAAATAAGCCTTCCAGTAGCTACTCTGCTTTTTTTTCTTGTTCAGTATGTTTCAGTTGTGATGGTGGAAAGTCTGAAGATGATGTACATCATAGGCCCGAATAACTTTGCTCTTATACTTTACTTTGAAATTGTTGGTGCTAATAAAGTATTCATTTCTTTCAAAGATGCTTCATGCTGAAAGTAGAGTAAGGCTCTTGGAGTGTCAGGATGAAATCCCGATTGAACCATGTTCAAAAAAAATGAAGTCAACAGAAGGGGCTTATGAGAAACTCTCAGGGGATGACAACCAGTGCAGTCAGGATGAAGTGGACCCTGACAGAACATCTAATGATTTGACACCAGTGAATGTCTCAGAAAGCCAGGGGGAACATGAACTGCAAAAGGAAGAGGAAATACCCATGGGTGTCTTGGGAACACCGAACAAAGTGCTTCCTGAAAATAATCTAGGGTTTAGTCGACCTCTTGATTCAGAGATGGTAGAGAATATAAATCCTCCATTAATAAACAACGCTGAAGTTGAAGAAGAGAAAGATCCTCTTACGTCCAGTAATGTCGAAGAAGATAATAAAAATAGCTGTAAAACATTCTCACTAAATAGAAGTGAATGGGATGATGAGTTTATTACAAGCAAAGAATTTATTGGACCGATTTACAAGCCGGCTGAAAGTAACAAACAGGACAAATCTGGAAGTTGTGGCGAATCTAGAAGCGATGTGGGAGATCAGGGTGAACTGCATGAAAACAGAGATAACAGAAAGGAGGCAACGGTGATGGAAACTGTTTCTTCTGCTGTACCAGAAATGGATGATGAACTGAACCAGTTCTACAAGGAAATTCACCAGCTGGAAAGTGAAAATTTAAACACATTTCAGGAGAACGAAATTGAAACCTCTCAGGAGCAACATTCTGCATATAACTGTAGTCAGACATCACAAGAGGAACATCAGCGTTCATCTCTGGGCAGCCCACGACCGTTTAATGAGAACGGGCATTGTTTCTCTGGAGAAGAGCAAAGTCAGAAAACAAGCAGTGAGCAGCAGTTTGTCACAGAAACAAGCGGCTGGAAACCTGAAAATGCCTTTAATGGACAAATAGATTCTGAGTATTGGAACAACTCCGTGCCTGAATTCAGACCTGCCTGGCAGTCAACTGAGTCTTTCATAGTACCTCAGGGGCTTCCTCCTCCTAGACTGAGCCATCAGTCGCCTTTTCAGATACTGAATTCCCCACTACAAAAAACAAATGCTTTCCCTTCTCAGCGGGATGACTTTTCTTATGAAAATTACTGTGGTTACCGTGGAAATAATGATACCAACTGTCATAGTCCATTGCCTGATCCAAGTGCCAGCTATATTGGTCATACTGATATCTGTAGTGCTCAGGTCTTCAGGAATGGAAATAATGAGCAGAATGGTTTCTGTGAAACCAGAGAAGAGTGTTGGAAAGATCCAAAAATGTACAGTACTGAAGGAATGCACAGATTTCCTTCCTTGCAGTTCCCTGAGGAACGATTTGGTTGTGCACAGAAAGTGCTCCTGATCTTAAGAGGCCTGCCTGGTTCAGGGAAATCAACACTTTCTCGGTAAGTAAAGACTTAAAGCTTGGGAACCTTATTCAAAATAAAAATTTTAAAGAATTTTTTTAAAAGTTGATCAGCAGGCACTTGGCAAACCTTGGTATTTGTTAAGTAGGCTATTAAAATGCAGTCATTTTTACTATGTGAGGACATAACAGCAAACATTAGAATCATATGCTTTGGGGCTTGTTTTCATTAGTAAGAGTTATGATGAACAGAAGCTGTTTTATGTTAATTTTAAAATGTTCTTTGTATCTTGTTCTGAAACTCTCAGGTGGACTGGCAATGTTACGGTCTGCCTCTTTTCGTATTCTCAAATTCCTTCATTTAAAAAAAATGGTCATCTTCAAAGACCAGTAGAAGAATTTTGCTGCTCAGAAAACATGCAATTTGTGTGCTGCTCGTTGTGTTTTCAGTGTCTTGATGAAATTGTGCATAATCCCAACCATTTTTTCATACTAACATCTGTCAAATTTATTTGAATGCACACAAGAAAAGTGTCGTTTTGCCTTATTAATATACTCGTTGAAGTCTCTGACAGGGTTAAAGTAGGTACAAACTCCAGCGTGGATTTTCACTATTTTTTTGCCTAGCATAAAAAGCACATAGGTTGGCACAGAATGCAGGCACTATCTGTGGTAAATGAAAACAGGTTTCTCTTGCATACAAGAAGTTACAATAGCAGTACTTACTGATGGAGCTTCATGAAGAAACTATCCAATATGAATGGGATGTCTTTTGTGGTTATGTTCTGTTGTACGCTGGCAGTCCAAAACCACAGAAAATTTAAACAAACAACAACAAAAAAATCAGCTTGAAACAATACTGCTTCATTCATTGCAGAAATTTGATGTTATTAAATATGATACTATTTAATATTAATGTTTTTCATATTTTCTGTGCTGAATGGCCTTTGAATCTTTCTCTAAGTATGTTACTCATATTATCTGAAAGATCCTACATACCTAAGTGGTTTTTTTGTGTGTATGAATGTATTTCTGCTTTTTCGTCTCTTTGTAAGACAAATTACAAATTTCATTTAGCAGATGGGAAGGTGGGCACTATGAGATCAAGGTCAACCATAGTCACGGAATTTGGGTGCAGAATTTGAACTGTGCAGGACTTGTTTTTCAGTGTATTCAACTACGTGCAATTTCATGTGTTCAAAGCTGGCTTTCAATTGTTAATTCCCATGAAATCATGTCCCAGGGTCTCAGGTACTGTGGGGTAGGCTGAAGGGAGCAAGGAGAAAAAATCATGGAGTAGCATCATGGAGTTCTGTAAGTGCAGGCTAGGATAGCAAATACAGCCCTGTGGACTCATTATTACCCACAGGTATCTTGGCAGTCTTGGCATCTTTAGCACCTTCAGACAAACCTCTACTGCTTGTGCTAGCAAAATGACTATTGGAAAAACAGAAAATTGACATCATGTCTATGGGTCAGTACTAGAAGGGAATGAGTTGCATGTTGTAAGTGGGTTTCCCAAGTGTATAATGACAGCAGAGCAGTCATGACACCCAGGAATTTTGAATTCCAGTCTTTTTTTTTTTTTCTCCAAACTGTGAGTTTGTAACTCACAGTGTATAGGCATGCATTTACTGCTGTTCCCAAACTCAACACGTCTGTCCTTAATCTTCTAATGAAGTCTATGTTTAGCCCTGACTCTGTCATCCCACCTGCTTGGAATTACAGGCACGTTTCTTGGCAGGGACTTCTGGAGGTCACCTAGCCCATCCTTCTGCTTAGAACAAAACTGTTGCCATCACTGGATCAGACCAACTGTTTTTCTAGCCTGACTTTGAAAACTTGCAGGTATGGAGTCCAGTCTCTCAAAACTTTTCTGGTGTTCATAGGTCATATCCCCTTAGCCATCTTGGTAGCCATCTGCTCAACCCTTTCGTATATTTCAGTGTGACTTTTGAAGTAGGAAGCCTCAAACTGGAAACAGTATTTCAGAAATGACTGCACAAGAAACAGATAGAGAGGGGATGGTAGCTTCCCTTGAGCCACTTTTTCCATTGGCTGCTTTTTTCCCTAATACAGCCCAGCATATGGTTTGCCCCTCTTTTGAGGAGAGTACGTTCTTGGTTCATCTTCGGTTTGATATCTACTGTAATCCTTAGGTCTTTTCAGTAGGGCTGCTCAAGGAGTTGCTTTCCATCCTGTACTGATGCAAAGATTTCTTTTGTACCAGATGCACCATCTGGTACAAAACTTGGCGCTTCTCCTTGTCGAGCTTCATGATGTTTCACTTCACCCAGTGTTCAAATTTTTCTGTGGCTAGAAGCCCTAATGCTCTGTAGGTGTGGCCTGCCTACCAGTTTGGTGTCATCTGCAAGTGCTCTGCTTCATCATCCAGATTAATGGTGAAGATGATGATGAACTGGGTTCCACCATCAGCCCGTGGTGTACTCTGCACGTACTCACTGGAAGCGTCAGAAGCCTTAATGCTTTCATACAACGTTACAGTCATTGCCCAGTCCTCATCCACAAAGCTCCATCAGAGTGCAGTCTGGTCTGGCCAATAAAGCAAGATTTGCTTGTTGTAAACCCTCCTTGACTCTTCCCGACTCCCTTGATTTCCTTCACGAGTTTGGAAGTGGATTCCAATAGGGTGTACTCCCTGTTTCTACCAGAAGCTGAAGTTAGGTGAGGTTGAGCAGCTTGTAGTGCCTTTGTTCCCTCTCTTTATTTCCCTTCCGTAGGGGCATAGCATTAGCCTTTTCCTGGTCATTAGGGATTTCCCCTGATCTCCTTGATTTATTGCATACGTTCACCTGACCTAGACATCCCAGCCTCCTGAGACTCATTCCAGTTCCCATCTGTTTATCCATCTACTTTCCAGGTTTGTTTTCCTGCTCTTACCCAACTGTAGCTTTTGGTCTGTGCCTAGCAGCTTTGCTTTGGCCCTAAAATTCCAAGTGGATTTCTCAGCTCCTTCTTTTTCCTCCCCTTTCTCCCTAGGTTCATTTTATTTTCCCAGTTTCAGCTGGTGGTATTGTCTCACGCCCAGCATAATTGTACCATTTCCTTTCTCACACTTCACTCTTTTGCCTTGTCCCTGTTTCCTAGCCCTGCTGCCAGTTGCAAGCTGTTTGTTCCAGCTTGTACCACTCTGCTGCCCACATCCTTCCTATTTTAGGCCAGTCTTCTTCCTTCTCTTGCCATGCTTAAGGTTGTGCTGGGAGAAATGCAATTTACAAGAAAACAAGCACCTGTACTTTGCCAGGTACCACTTCCTCAATCCAAAACATCTCAGAGAAAACCTTGGAATAATGCCATGTGATAAAAACGCTGTTTTTCTTCCTTCGTTTTGGAAGTGATTGACAACTTAGAAATTTCCTAAACCAATTTGACCAGATAGACGCCCAGCAATGGCATCTTCAGCCCAAGTAACAAAAGTCTGCTGAAATTTTAAGTAGATGATAATGTGGTTTTATGATGTTAATGCTATTGGGAAAAGTTACAAAATACAAATTTTGATTTTTTAGGATATTTTGCATCTAAAATTGGCAACAATTTCAGTTCCCATTCCTCCATAAAAATACCTCACAGTGAATTTGAAAAAAAGTTTAATGAAGTTGAAAGAACAAGTATTCACGTCATTTCAAGAACACTTGAAATTAAATCTCTTTCTAGGTATATAAGCAAGTAGTCAGCTTTTTCTGGGGCTGTTCTTCCAGAGAGAGGAACCCATGGATCTCTGGAATGGGAAAATTGGAAGAATATTTAAAGCTGCACATAGAAACACTTGGGTGCTATTGTTTCTAATTATGCAGTTCTTTAAAAACATGGCTTGTAACAGTGTTTAAAGCATCATTTATATAATTTAGTGCTACTACAGATTTTAAAGTATTTAGTTACAGTCTAGTTCATTCTGTATGATGTTAGCTATCTTAAATAGATAAATTATTAGATTCTAAGATTATTCTTGATTATAAAATCATCTTTGAAAGCAGACTGGCTAGAATGCAGCTTGGGGAACTGTTTAAAGAATTGAAATTAAAGCAGGGTTTGTGCATGTGTGTGCATGCTGGAAAAAATACGTATTAGTTTGCTGATTAGTTCAAACGAGCACTTTGATTTCCAGATGAGTTTGGTGTGCAGAGCTAATACCTCCTGTTAGATCAACCAGCATGTCTAGGAAAAGTAAGTGAGCTGCTTTAATTTTGTTGATGTCACTGCCCCACTGTGTTCAAAGGTGAATGTTCAATTGCAGGGAATGGATAGGAGGGAAAGGCAGGTTTACAGCACTTGGGTAATACTGCTGCTCATTTCGGGCATGTGCATGTATCAATGCTGAGCAATCTGTAATTTGACTTTCCTGTTAGAAATGTATTTATCTTCCTTGGTTTTCCTTCTCCGTTTTGCAGAATTGGGATGATCTCTTTGTAGTGTTAGGTAGTAATGATTTTCTCTGCGCAGATGTGCTCCATGTTGCTTCTGTTTGAGTTCATGAGCCTAGAATAAATTTTATTTCCAAGTCTTACAAGTTACAATTGTGTAAATTATTCCATGTGAAGTTGTCAAGTGTGTTTGTGTTTAAAATTTTACTAAATTTTACTGAAAGGGTAAGGATTTCATTCCTCTGGCCTCTCTGGTAGTCAGTCTGCCTTCCCAGTTACTTGGCTTCAGGCTTATTCTTGCAAATGTAGTTTAGTGTATTAAGTCTGTTACATTGGTTCCATAGGTTCATAAATTGCTTTGTATCCTGAGCTTTGAGGAATAATAACAACATATTTTAGGATTAAACTTTGATGGATTTGCAAGATTCCCAAACCACAGTCACAGTGTTTCTGTATTGAAGTTTGGAAAATACAAGAGAGGAATCTAAGTGAATTATTCTACACAACACTGAGCAGTTCCTAGAAATACAAAGATGAACACCCCATTAGTCGCTGTGCCTTGACTCACCAGTTCGCATATATCCCTACAGAAAGCAGACAGTCAGGCTCCTGGGAGCTGCAGGGGTGTGCCTGCGGGTACCCAGCCAGCAGACAAACCGGGTCACAGCTCTGTGTTATCTCTGTGGTTAGGTGGTGGGGTTTAACCCGACTGGCAGCTACACACCACACAGCTGTTCGCTCACCCTCTCCTCTCCCTCTCTGGGATGGGGGAGAGAATCAGAAAGAAATGAAAGTCGTTGGGTTGAGATAGAGACAGTTTATTAGCACAGGAAAGAAAATACTACTACTAATAATGTGTATGAAACAGGTGATGCACAATGCAGTTGCTTACCACCCACCGACCGATGCCCAGCCTATCCCCGAGCAGCCCAGCCACCCCATACTAATTGTTCAGCATGACGCCATATGGGATGGAATCCTCCTTGGGCCAGTTGGGGTGCAGCTGTCCAGGGTCTGTCCCCTCCCAGCTCCTGCTGCACCCCCAGCCTGCCCGCTGGCAGGACAGAGCAAGAAGCTGGGAAGTCCTTGGCTTGGTGTAAGCACTGCTCTGCAACAACTAAAACATCAGCATGGTATCAGCACTCTTCTCATCCTACATCCCAAACATAGCACCACACCACCTACTAGGAGGAAAATAACTCCATCCTAGCCAAAACATTAGGGCACGTGGTCCTTACTCTGTGCATCTGCATTCAGCACCCAAGAAGTGAGTGGGGAAGGTGGATCCAGTTGTTTCCAGTATCTGCTTAAAAAAAATCCTTCTGTACTCCCCTAAAGCAGTGTAATATATATCCTACTAAAAGGCAAAGACTCTAACAGAAATATTGAACAATCCCAACAAAGTGGCTGTACTTCTGGTGTATCACGCTCTGCTTTCTGAAACAGCACTGCTCTTTATTCTGAGCAAAACTTATGCTCTGGAAAAGGGAAAAAGCAAAAAGGAAAAAAAAAAAGAAAAGCAACAGCTTGTGTGTTTCTTTGATCATGTTACTTGACAGTTCTGTTATTCATGGCTTCTTCTGCTCCCCAGTAATTTTGTTGTTACAAATCTGTGTTTTAAAAGCAAAAATAGTCATCAACTTAATTGCAGGACAGTAATTATGTAGGAATTTAATTAATATACAGTACAGTGTTTTGTTGGTTATTTTTTGTTAAGTAAAACTGGATTATTTTTTTTTCCTTTTGAGTTTTTAATGAAGATCCGTAGCTCTGTAACTGATGTAATGTTAGGCCATCCACGGGCTTTAAACTGTGATCTCTAACAGGTCTACTGTTGCTATGTTTTGCCACGTAGACATCTCAAATCCTTGTGAAATTAAACTTAAGTAGCTCTTCCTGCAGCTATTCATGGGAAAGCTTGGTGACTTAGAACTAACATCCATTTATTCCCCCAGGTTATTTGGGATCTGGCCAGTTCTCTTCCCTCCCTGGCACCTCTGCAGCAGCACATCACGCATATTGCTAATACTGTTCATTTTTTATAGCCCTTGGATACGTTGCCTGTTTCCCAGTCTGAGTAGCTGCCTAAATTTCCATAGAGCAGCGGAACCTGAATGTTTCAGTACACTGGAAGTGCTCTGGGGCACTGAGTGCCTGGTGGCTGTTTACAAATTTAAACGGAGTACAGAATATAAAAACAGTCAAGGAGATCAGGCTGTGGATGTGTAGATCTGACTTTAAACAGAACTGTGCTGTTGTCTCCTTTGTAAAAAGTTTTCCTTGATATGAAATAACCTTATCTTAATTTTTTTGTCATCTATTATTGAAACTACAGTTCTGCGAGACGTGCTAACCCATGGAGCTGCTGCTCTGCCCGGGGTGGGCTGCACTGATCTTGAACCACTTCTCTTGTGTCATCTTTTTGGCTTTTTCCTTGAACAGGCTCAGCTGCTAAAGTTTCAGAAAAGCAACATAAGAAAAAAAAATGAGAAAAGGTCACTTTGTTCTGGGTATAGTGAATGCTGGTGGCTTGTAGATGCAGTGAGTGCCAGGTTTCTCTGTTGATGACAAGGTGGATGTGAGTCAGCTTGTGTGGCCAGATTTGGGGGATAACACATAGAGCTGGAATAGAAGAGTGTAAGATACTGCAGGAATACACATGCTCTTCCCTAATCCTGACTTTCATTAGTGGGACAATGCTGAAAGCTTATTATGATCTTATACTTTTCCCTGAGAGTAGGAAAATTGCTGTAAACATGAGTAATTTGCTTTTGCTGTTCCTGTTCAACGCATATTTTATCTGCAAGGACAGAGCTGCATGGACAGATGAGCGGAGGGTGGATTTAAGAGGAAGAAGGATTTAAGCATCTGCTTCATTTCTCAGCTGTCTCCAGATTCCATGATCAGATTGGTTCCTAGAGATAATTCCAGATGAGAATTGATATGGAAAATGTTAATAAATGCAATAAATGACCATGAGGTGCTAACAACCTGTTGCAATAGAACTGTAAAGTAGGTGGCTACAAACTTCTTTTAAAGATGGTGAGGAAAAAACAAAGACAGAAACAGTTGAGAGGGGGAAAAATGTACTTTAAATTGAAATTTGTATTGGAATTGTTGGAAATACTCATAGCTATACTTTTATAAACCAGTTTGTCATTTGCAAGAGGCTCAGAACCAGGGCACAGATAAATATATATTTAGCTATGTTGTTTGTGTGCATGTTTTCTGTCTGAAAAATGAAAGTTCTAACATTTTTGCATTTACCTTTGTTCAACAGTATTCTGCTTGGTGAAAGCTGTGATGGCATTGTACTCAGCACCGATGATTATTTTCGTCAACAAGATGGATACCTGTATAATGTCGTTCAGCTTGGTGATGCCCATGACTGGAACCAGAAGAGAGGTTTGAATGCATTCAAGAAATTCTATTAAAATATGTTTGTATTTAGAGGATAAAAATATAGCACCACATGCATGGGTTAATGGTCTGAATGAGAAGGAGCATATATTAAAAAAAAAAAAAAAGTGTAAATATATATATATATATGTATAAGTATAGGAGCATATGTATTTTAAGTTTTTGTTATGTTTTAATTAGTATATATGTATATTTACATTAGATTTTGAAATGATGAAAGGTTCAGAGTTAAAAGGACAAAATCTCTTTTTTCTGTGCTATGACCTGCTGTGAACACAGTTTAATCTCTTTGCTGCAGTGTCTCAGCCAGCAGCTTCTTTCCCACCATAAGAGGAATCCTTTGCATCAAAAGATATGGAGATCCAAGGAAAAAAATCTGCAGGATAGGAGTTAAGAATGTTCTTCCCTTTTCTTCCATCCTCACCCTAATAAAAAAGAATTACGATATGCTGGGGAAAGTTTATGAATGAACAGTGCAGGAATTTTGTAGAGCAATTATTGGAACTGTAAAAATTCTAAGAAACACTTTCGATGTTGGAGTGCCACAATAATAAATATTTCAAATGAAGTTGCCAGTAGAAGTCAGAGGAGCAAAAGAGCTGCAAACAGCAGTTTCCAGACGAGATGTCTCAGTATGTCACAAATGCAAGACCACCAAACAGTTCTCACTTGGTAGTGGCTTCTGGCTGCTTCTGGCTAGACCTTAAGATCTGTCCAATTCTGTATCATTTAGTTGTGCAGTGCTTTTGATAACCAGAATACTACATCATTCAGTGATTTTGATAACTAGAACAAGAACAGCTGTGCCCTGTTGCACAGAACACCTCTGTTGCAGAACATTTGCCAGAATAGGTCTGGGCTGAGGCTGTGATCACGTCTTCCCTCCTGTTTGGTCTAGGTAGGAGTCTTTGTCGAAGTACTTCAAAATCCTGTGCTTTCATTTCTTTGTGGATCTTTGCAATACATGAAAGTTTGTAGGGTCAGCTATACAAATATTAGGAAATGTTAGAATTAATTTGCCATTGTGACTTTAAATGTGAAATCAGTGCCACTCTTAAGGGGTTTTAGGCCCTTAAAGTTCACTTTTCTGTATTTGTTCAGTGTCTCTTACTGTAGTTTATCCTTTACTCTTTTACTGGTAACCTATGGCTACCTTTAACATGTTTGTAATGTTCTTGACGGGTCCAGTTGGGTTTTAACTGCCTTTTTTTTTTTGATGGTGACTAGTTAGTTACCTTTGTTTTTTTTCCCTTTTAAACAAAACTTTATCTAAGGAGTTACATCAGCATACTGTGCACACTAGTACTAAGATCCAGAGTTGAAACAAGAGAGGAGAATAATGTAAGGGAGTTGTAGCTGTAATTCAATCTTTCTTTGAAAGCTTTTGTAAATTATGGCCCCTTTATCTTCATTACCAAATTGGCTGTTTTCTTGCTGCCTTCGAATCTCTTCTGAATTGCTTCTTTCAGGATTTTTCCCTTGCTTCTGCCAGCCTGTCAGTCGTCTTTTCTAGATTCGTGTCCAAGTGTAGTAGTGGGCTTACGTGGCAAGGTTTTGGTAGCAGAGGGCCATAGGAGTGGCTTCTGTGAGAAGAATCCAGACGCTGCCCCGTGTTAGATAAGGGCCAGGCCAGTAAGTGTTGTTGTTTGTGCCTCTGTGAGAAAAGATTTAAGACGGGGAAAAAAACCTTCTAGGGATCAGCAGCTGGGTGGAGAGAGAGCAGTGAGAAACAGCCTTGCAGGTGCCAAGGTCAGTGAAGAAGGGGGAGAGGTGCTCCAGGCAGGCAGCAGCAGTTCCCCTGCGACCTGTGGTGAGGACCGTGGTGGAGCAGGCTGTCCCCCTGCAGCCCATGGAGTACCACGGTGGAGCAGATCTCCACGCTGCAGCCCGTGGAGGAGCCCCTGGTGGAGCAGGTGGCCCTGCACTGACAGAAGCTGCAGCCTGTGGAGAGCCCCCGCAGGAGCAGGCCCCGGGCCGGAGCTGCAGCCCATGGAGAGGAGCCCACGCAGGAGCAGGTGACCTGGCAGGAGCTGCTGCCCGTGGGGGACCCAGGTTGGAGCAGTTTGCTCCTGGGGGATGGACCCCGTGGGACGGAGCCGTGTGGGAGCAGTGCTTGGAGAGCTGCTGCCTGTGAGCAGCCCCCGCAGGATCAGTTTGGGAATGGAACAGGGGCAGAGAGTGACCGAGAAGGAGCGGCAGAGAAGTGCTGACTGACCATAACCCCTATTCTGCGCTGCTCAGGGGGGAGGAGGTGGAAGAGGACTGATGAGGGGAAGGCATTTTTGGTTTCTTTCCTTTGTTTCTCACTTCTCTTGCTTGTTAGTAATCGGCAATAAATCTTACTATCTCCCTACTCTGAGTCTGTTTTGCACGATAATTGTTGAGCGATCTCCCCGTCCTTATCTCAACCCTTGAGCTCTTTGTGTTGTATTTTCTCCCCCTTTCTCTTTGAGGAGGGGGAGTGAGAGAGCAGCTGTGGTGGAACTCTGGCTGCCCACCCGAGTAACACCACCACACTGAGAAAGATCATTTGTGCAACGTTAATGAAACCAGAGCAATATATTCTTCAGTTTTTATGGCTTTCCCCACTGATTCTTAGTGCTCTGTTGTAACATGCTTTATATTTGCTTTTTCCCTCCTTTCCATCTACATAGTTACTTCCAAGACTTTTCTTCCTGTTACGTGGATTGATTTCAGCAAGAAAAATCTACAATAACTTTTTTTTTTTTTTCAACAATAATTCTACAATAACTTAGGGTTGGGTCTTTTTGTTTGGTTCATTGGTTTCCTTCAGATCTCTTCTTTATTCAGTGTACAAACTGAACACTATTTGCTGAATGGACATGTATTCAACAGATGTATTTTTTATAATCCTTAGTACTTGCTACAGATCTAGCTTTTCATTTAATATATACTGTTTTAACACTGTTTAATGAAACATAATTCTCCTGGAAACTTTTTTTTGTACAACAGTGATCTCAGTATTTTAAGCTTCAGGTATTTAATTTATTTCATTTAGTTCATTGTCTTAACTTCCTTGTGAGCACAGGTGGTTTTACATACTGATTTATTTTTTTTATTGGCAAGCTGAGATACAATTGTTAAAAATACCTTCCTGTTTTGGATGCCAGACTTTTCAATTTAGACATTCTCTTCAGGATATGTAGTAGTAATAGACCTTCATATATTCTGAATAAATTTTCACTGTATTAATATTCATATGAGTTCATATCACTTTTTAAAATTATATTTGTAACTTTTTAAGTTGGACAGCCAGAAAATGAAGCTCGTGTAAAGTAGTGGCCACTTGGTATGTTCAAGAACATTCACCAGAAGGTGATCCATCTTGTTTTTCAGTCGTCCTGATTTAGCAGGATGTGTGATGTCTTTGTATGAAGGCGACGTATGTCTTAGCATTTTGTTGGAGAAGAGCTGCAATACCTAACCACAGCTCCCCGTTATGAATGCACTGTGTGCCGTTGGTAAAGTTGGAACTTGGATATGGTTTTATGCTGAGGGTCTCAGCAGGCCCCATACTTTGAGCAGCTGTGTTGAGTGGCTTTGACTTTACACTTCTTGTTTACCCCTTTGTATCAGTTCACCACTACCTTGTTTCTATGTTCCTGCTTTCATTTTTCTTACCTTTTTGCTCCTACTAGTTTCCATTTCCATCTCTACCTTTCAGTACATTTAATCTTTTTCTTAGAGCAGTATGTTTCAGTCAGACTGTTGCAAAACAATTCTTGCGTTCACCGTTTTATTTGAGTTATATAATTGTTTATTTACATGCAGTAATTTGAATTACATAACTGCTTATTTACATGCACTGTTTTTCATTGCAGCACAGCAAGCAATGGAGCAGGGAAGATCTCCAGTTATAATAGACAACACTAATACTCAAGCCTGGGAGATGAAACCATATGTGGAAGTGGTAGGTTTTGTTGTGAAATCATACCATCTGTTACAGCCTCGCACATTTACCTTCACATGTGGTAAGCTGGTCTGCTTTGTGCGAGACCATTTTCCTTACTCAAGTTTCTGAAGAGAGACTGCTTATTGACACAATCAGTAACTGGTGTGGCAGTAGTCCAGAACAATTTTAGGACGGACTTGACCTAATCTACTTAGTGTGGAGTGAAACCTAAGACATGTTTGTGGGCAAGTGAAATTCAGTGTGCTAGTATTGTAGAGTTAACTACATCCATTTATTATACTGGTCTACAAACCTGTTTGTAGTCATTACTATTCATATTTTATATAATAATGATACTCATATGAACAATATTTTTTTTGCTTGCTGCAGGCTCTTGAAAAGGGATACAGAGTGGAGTTCCATGAGCCTGATACTTGGTGGAAGTTTGATCCTGAAGAATTAGAAAAGTAAGGGTTATATTACAGAAATCATTCTACTTCTGTGTATATAGAGACAGACAAACAGATTTGCCCATGTAAATATCTATCTATCTATCTGTCTATCTATCTATCTATAAAAGGGGTTTTTATTTTATCCAGTATCTGATTTATTCAAATGTGTAACTACTAGTATAAAATACATTTTTAAATCTGCATTTTGAGATGTACCTTCAAATAGAAGTGTTACGGATATCAAAAGAGTCTTGTTGGCCCAAAGTAGTCAATACTCAAACTTTGTTGCATGTGGGTAGAAAAAGTGATTGAGCATTGTTGTAAGTGCTTCTGTTGTATTGAATGATTTAAGTTATCCTGAGATTTTTTTTTTGTTAAAAAACACTGAAGAAAAGTAATAGAAGACAAAAGGAAAATATGCATTTTATTAAGAGTGCATAAGTGTCTTGTTATGTCTACTTTTTTTTAGATGGCTGTGTCAGGGAATAGTAGTCCATTGCTAATCAGTGAAGGTTAAAAGGAAAGTTTGTGTTTTAGATGGTTCTACTGCAGGATTTTGTGAAATTGTTCCCAGTCTTGAGAGGGTCTGTTGTAGAGTACTGTTGGACATCGGTTATTGGTCATGTGTGTTATGAGAGCATCTGGAAAGCTGGTTATTATTCCTGGTTAATTTTTCCTTTGGCTCAGGTGTATCTGCTTTTAGGAATCTATGAGGTACCAACACCACCTAGGGAAATTTGTGTTTGAAATGCAGTGTAATGCCTTCATGGTTGATCCCAAGGAGTTCTCTTGCTGATTGTAATTTTAGGTGCTTCCAACTGACTTGACTTATTGTTGTTTCAGCTTTGTAAAATAGCCCCTACAAACCACCAAGTATGTTTGTGTAATACATATATTGCCTACTTAGACCTTATTCTTTGTTCTCTATAATTTTTTTAAAGCTTTCATCTTTTTCTCCTAAGCTACCGCTAATTTATTCATAGAGATGGAGTTCTCCCTCTGTTGGATGAGTTCTATTAAGTTTTCCTAGTTATGGTGCGGCACTGCTACATCAGGCAGGAAGCTGTCTCAGTAATCAGGCGTTTCTAAGATGTTCAGTGTGAGATCTCCTTTGCATGAGAAAGACTCAAATTTTCCAGAAAATGCATGTTTTAACGTGGTCTGAATTTTATTTTTAACTGTCATCCAGTGCTATGCTATGGTGACATTCTAGCAGTCTGGTGCATTTCTAGATACCATTTTTATAGAGCTGTGTCTGCCTTAGCGCTTAGTCTTTAGAAATCTGTGAAAAGCCTTATTGAAAGGAAAAGAGACAAGGTCAACGCTGGCTGAATGGTGAATTTGTGATGTCAAGAACATGACAGATGTTTTAGTGTGGAATAGTTTTCAGAGCCTTTTTTTTTTTCTTCCAGCATGCCAATGAGATACAAATTGCCATTAGACTCGTTCATGTGTGATTTTGCTCTTAGTTCAGTTTTGTGCATGTAACTTGTGAAAACATCTCGATTTCACATGTGTGTTTTGCAGTAGTGCTTGAGACGTCTTGCATAGTATTTAGACGTTTCATATAAAGGGTTTTATACTTTCAGATGCAATTTTTAGGGTATCTTGGCTCAGAACAAGTAAGTGGCAAAATGATTGATAGAAATGTTTTTGACGATGTGTTTAATGAGTGTTGGATGAAATATTACCTTTTTTCGTGCTTGCATGCTTTCTGAGTAGCTGGTCAATTGGAACATTAAAATAAGTGCATTTGATTCAGACTTTTGGGAAATAATTATCCTGTATAATCAGTATTTTGGGACAGGGGGTGTTTTCTTAAACAGTTACCTGCTGTCTGTATATACACAGAATTGATATGCAACGTGTTTAGTGTACCTCATTTTCCTTCAGTTTGATTGTCAACTGCAGTTTGACATTGACTGCATCGAACTCATGCTGATTGTTTAAAGCAGTAATGCCTTTGTAGGATTATTTTGCCAATATATTGGTGTGCAAGATTAGTCTAATGTAGAAGCGTTTAACAGTTACAGAACTTTACTAGTATCAATAGATTCTTTGTTGCTGCAAACAAAAAACCAAAAGCTTTCAAAGCCTAACTATCTGTTAGGAGGTTTAGCTGGCATATCTTACTGTTTACGGGTGAGATGGCTTTATGTTCTTTCACTATACCTTGGCTATACTGAAACATGCCCAAAGAGGATGTTTGCTATGAGATGTGGTTTAGTAGACTTGGCAGTGCTAGGTGAATGGTTGGACTTGATGATTTTAGAGGTCTTTCATAACCAGAATGAGTCTTCAATTCTGTGACATCCTAGTATTAAATGACCCTATACAACAGATTCGTTCAATTTATTTTTTTTTAAGTAATTTCTGTGCTTGATGGGATTCTGCTGCTGGTGATTGTATTGTCCTGCCTTTTTCTTGAAGAAAAACTACTTGCTTATTCAAGTCCATTCAATTTTGGGTGAATGTGCACTTTATGCCATTTCTACTTGAGTTGTTTTCTTTTCCTAGCTGTACTGAGATAGGGAGAATATTATAAAACTTTGTACTTGCACTGGGTGGCATAAAAGGATTTAGACTTCCTCTTTTCCATTTCTTTATCATGTAAGTCAAGTGCTTTATAGAATGCCTGTATTTCTAGGGGTTGGCTTTTTCCTGTGCTCATAGTCTCGTTCATATTTGTGAATAAAATCAAACCTGTTAAGGCTTGTTAGCTGATGGGTTTAACGTGCTGGTGATCCTGGACATCTTGAGCAGGATGTGAAAATTAATATATTTTAAGTGGTGAGCCTCTTGTGGTGGTCACTGTAGCTTCTGAAGTTGTCTCATCTGAAAAAAAAAAAAATCTGTGAGGGAAATACTCCACTTAATTCTGAGTACCTCTGAGATGCCTCATTCTTCTTCCAATCTTAATATGAAACTAGTGTGCTACCTACAGTATGCTTTGAGCTTTTGTGAACTTGATAGGTACTCCTTTGTTGCAATAATGTGCACAAACTCCTAGATTATTATTTTTTTTTTAATATTTCTCTATAGACTACTCTTTTTCTGGCATATCCTATTTGTCCCCCCTGTTGATTTCTCCCTTATAGAATTCAGAAATTTTTAATTTTTTGTTTAAATTTAAAATCTTTTATTTATTTATTTTTTAAAATCAGGGGACTCATGCCCCCTGTCCCTGTCAGAAAGCACAAAGATACCCAAGTGGTATGACTTGGAAATTTTTCATCTTCAACAAGGTTTCTTGGTGATAAGAATATACTGGGTTATGGTAAATTCTTGTCTACATTATAAAAAGATTTCATTTACATTCTGTGTCTATTCTTTTAGATTCAATTCTGTTACAGCACTGGTAATTTTCTGACGTTTGGTTTGTGCTTGAACCTCGTGGTTTTCTTTTTAGCAGGGACTGAAATTCTGCTAATGTGGATTTTAAGGTGCTATTCCATAGATGCTGAGGAGATAGATGCATTGCAATGTAGTATCTCATGTCTCAGGTTCTTAATGGGCCAAGTTCTCACTGAAAGCAGCAGCTCCTCACTAAACACTGCAATGACAACTTTTTTGGCTGCTCTTCCCTTCCCTTATCTGTCTTTTTTTGAGTATATTTCTCTTTTTTTTTTTCTCAAGTATTGGTAATAACTACTAGATAAAGTATCATGAACATGTAGTGCCAGTTCAAAACTAAAATTTTTCCTCATTTTATATATTTATCAATGAGAAACACTCTGTCATCAAGTCTTGAAACCATGTAGTTCCATTTCTTTTTGTTTCATTGAACATTGCTTTCATAAGTAAGTCTATAACACATTATTCCCCCTACCTATTAGGTAGTATACAATGCAAAATTCCTTGAATAAACAAAATAAAGTCTTTCTAGGATGATTTGTTTGTTTTCCTGGTGAATAACATCACATTTCTATATGAAGAAGAAAGGCTGTAATTGTTTTCTGTTATTTAACATTTTTAGTGTTGAATTGTTAAAAAATAAAAAATAAATAAACCTTAACACAAGTTGACTATTAGGAGAATGAGAATACAATGTAATGAAATTGAAATTCCAAATGTCACAGCATTTTAGTTTAAAAATGTATGCAATCTCTTGACTTAGTTGAATGTATGTTTTTCAGTTATCTAAAGCTTACTGCTAAGTAATGCAGGAAAATACAACTGTTTTTTATAGATATGAAAAGCAAGAAGAAAAAATGTGAAATTAGTTTTTTTCTTAAAGACTGTAAACATAAACATACCAGACAATTTATTTAAGTTTTTATTTTTGTAGGAGGAATAAACATGGGGTCACTCGTGAGAAGATTGCTCAGATGTTGGAACGATACGAATATCAAATATCCATACCTATTGTCATGAATTCAGTTGCACCTCCTCACAAACACACACAAAGGCCACCTCTGCAGCGAAGACATAGGTGGGGAGGCAATACAGACTCATGGAATTCTTTCGCTATTTCCAGTAGCCGGTAACACAGTTGCAGTCAGTTATAAAAATCTGTTATGTGCCCTTCTAAAACACATCACCACCTCCAATGAAGTAGTGGTTTTTCTGTTTTAAATAGGCCTATTTCAAGACCGTTCCCTTCGGGAGGTTGTTTCTTTAATGGACTTGCATGTAAATAAAATTGTACATTTAATGTTTTAAAAAATATATATATTTATTTATTACAGTTGTAATAACTTTGATTTCAGTAAAATATTTGATATAGTATGAGGTATAGCAGTCTTCCTTCCTCAATTTAAGACAATGATGTTTTCATATAGCAAGTAACTGTTGAACAGTTTTTTTAAAGAGGTCCTATTAGATAGCTTTTAAAACAGAATTAACGCCCAGAAAAAGAGCTTATTTATGTAGTAACTGATTTTAATGATTCTGACTTAGACTCCTAATCTTTTATGAGATCTTTTTGAAAACACTTGTCTTGGATTGTCCTTTTGTTTTGATTGGTATATATTGACAATTGGCAAACTATTGGCATGTATTTTCTGGCTTTTTGTCTCAGAAGCTCATCTCAGCTGAAGCAGCGTTCTTCTAATACAGTGTTCACCAGCCTTAAACTCTGTAACCTCAATTCTTTAATTTATTTATTCATTCTCAGTGGCAGTAGCATGTAGAATATGACTGTGTCTGTGCACCACCAACTCTTTTTGTACTTAAAAAACTAAATGTTCTCACTACAAATGCCAGTTTTGTTGCTCCTTCTACGCAATTTCTTTCATCCAGGATAAAAACTAAGTACTTGGAAGTATCAATTCAATACAAATAGTGGAGATAGTTTTGTAAAACCATGTTGCATTCTTAATTTTGGCACAGGCAATGTGATCTGTTATTCAGCGCTTAGCAATGAATGAGACAGCATGGAGATTGACTAATTTATTATCCATTTTCTTTAAAAACCTGATGAATTCATAAGTTTTCACTTCTCTTGCTTTCTAACTGCTTGCTGTATCAATAAAACATGTTTGTCTTCGATGTTGTTTTAGTAGTTCAGTGTAACAGTTGTTGTTTTCAAGCTTTTGTGATTTTTATTCAGCTGAGCATTGCTAGTAACCTGTTAGCTGAAATAACCTATCTTCAGGTCTAACTAGGTTTGACTTCCTTAAGCACTAAATGAGTAAGTCTTGAATAGGAAGGCTTGTTGAGAATGTGAGAACGTAACTAAAATTATTATTATTACTATTATTAGGTGCAATAGTCATCAGAATTTTGCAAATTATTTTTTTTAACTTACTGGGAGTTTCTGTTGTGGGCCCTAAAAGTTGTTTCATCTTTAAAGTCTGAGTAACTTAAAAGTCAAGGTATGTGATGAATTCTCTTTCTGTTGTTTTATACAACTACTTTATGTCTACATTTGTACAATTTAATGTATATTTAGAACATTTTCATAAAAGATTTTGTTAATTGCAAGAGTTGAAGTATGCAGTTTCACGTTTCAGTGATGTTTTAATTAATTGAAAAATAATCTATTTCAAATAGTGCACAGTTTCTTAATGTATTGAACTACTGTTTGTGTTAAAAAGAAGCAGCTTTCCAATTATATTATCTTGTTGTATATTATTCATACCAATTGTGTTTACTGTATTTTAGTTTTCATAGTCATCTTTTTCCATGTTTCAAGAGAATCATAGAAATCTTTGTCATAAGTCAGTAATACTTCAAGTATCCTGAAGCTGTTATATTTAAATATAAATTACATTTCAACTGAGAGGAAGATAAAAGGGTTTTAGAGAGACTCATTTTATTTACTCACATGATAATAATTATTATGACTAAGTCATAATAAAGTGATGAAATTTATTAATTGTGTGATATTCAGGCAGTGTGCTAAGATATGACAAAAACGGTGATTATTGAAATTTGGCATTATGATAGTTTTTGGTACCCTCTGTCTTCAGTTTTTTGAAAGATTTTTTTAAGAAATGTTTTTATTTCATATTTACATTTTCTTTAACTGAATTTTAGTATGTAAGTAGGTAGGAATTAGGACTGTTTTAAAAAGATGCCACATATTTGTGTTATATGTTTTTAATAAATTGTTGATGGATGGTGAGTATTTTTGATATGTGAAGTACGTTGATCAGTATAGGCTTGCTATCTGGCAAGGGATATGTAACAAGAACAGAAAGCTTTGCAAAATGTCGGAGTATCAAATACTTACTGTAAACTGCTTAATCGATAAAGTTGTATTCCAAGGTAAGTCCATGGTAGGTGAAATCGCAATTACTGTGTAACACATGATCTTTGTTTCATTATATATATTTCATGAGGGTTTAAACTACAAACTAGAAATATGTGTGTATCTGAGAGAGAAGTTGATTTCTTTTCATCCATGATGGTATATTACACTACAATATTCATATGTTAAAAAATAAATAAAAACAAAAAGGTGATGTGAAATACACCTTACAGGTGACGAATTTCTCCTGCTCCCTCACAAGTGAAGAAAATGACTTATTTTGTCAAAAAGTACATACGAGAAATGTAAGAACTCCTTCTTCAATTAGACCTGGGCTCTAAATATTTTTTCTATCTAGCATAGCGTTTATGCAATACACTTATTAATTTGTCACACATACTAACAGTATACCTAGAATTAAGGCTTTCTGTTGTTTTTGATTTTTAGTAAATTGCTAGTTCATAGCGTGTGAAGAAATAATAGCGTTACAAATGCAGATTCTAGGTATCTCCTGCACACTTCAAACTAGTGAGGTTTGGTAAATAAATTTAAACAGAAGAGTTAAGATACTTAGCTGTAGCTTTACCATCCCACTCTTTGAAGCATGAAATTTAAATCAGAGTTCGTCTGCAGAACACACATAATTTGATAGCGGTTAGCAACACAGAATTATATATAGCTATAAAGGGAAAAAAATAAAAGAGCTCTAGTTTTATTGCTTAATCTAGCTGCTATATTTCTTGTTAGTTTATCTCCTAAAGTATTAAAAGCTTTCACAAGTGATTTAGTGGTTGCCTTTTATTTTTTGCATCTAATTAGTAATGATTAAAACACTAGAAGTTCTAATGTAAAAACTTTTTTTTTTAATTTTTTTTTTAAAAAAAGGTGTTAAATGGTGTCCTATTAGGAATTCTGTCTTCTGTTCTGATGCCCATCTCCTTTTTAGATTCAGTCTAATCTATTTTACTATGCAGGGTATTTTTTTAAGCTTTTTTTCTTTAATGAAGAAAGCCAAGGTTTTGTCTTTATTGTTCTCTCTCTTGAAACATTCTACAGAGATTGTAGATTTATTTCTTTCTCTATTAATAGATAACTGAAGATCAGGCTCGTCTAACTGGGATGAGACCCATAACATTTGTATATGATTATTTTCTGTCTTTCATGATGTAATTTAGGATGTCAGGCTTTTTTTTTTTTTTTTTGACCAGTATGATTAATTTTCAGTGAATTAGGGAAAAAAAAAAGTGTTTTTGTAATTTCACATTGCTGTGTATGAACTCTGCTGTATGAACTAGCTGTAGTTTGAACTCCTGCTTCATCCTAGGAAGCGCGTTTCCTGGAAGGAATTCTTTCCCTCTTTGCTGTACATTATGGGGGTGAGACAACAGGATGTATGTTGAGAATTGAGGGGTTTCCATACAAAAGAAAACAGGCCTGCATTACACCTCCCAGTAAATAGAAATAAGACAACATTGTGTTGAAATGCAGTTCGTACAATTAAAATCAAATACTGAATTTAAGAGTGTTCAGCTGTTTCATATAAGTCAAACGTGTGGAAATGTTTCACCTCACTGTTTCTACAGTGACGTTTTTTCAGTATTTTTTTCCTTTCTAAAATATTTTACTTTTTCATCCTTTTGAAATAAAAGCAAGAACAGTATGGTTTTGCTGAGATTTTATTTGTTAGATTAAAACTCTAGTATTTGAAAAGCATTGCGTCTGGAATGGGTCTTTGCAGTTTCCTTTTAGCTGATAATGCTGTTTCCACATCGAGAGCCTCTTCCTTCCTCAGGTAGGCTGTCCTTGACCACTTAACATGTACTGCTATATGGTGCTGCTGTGACACTGCCAGGTTCTGCCAAGTCAGCATGTATTGTGTCTGTGAAGTAATTTTTTATCAGTCATACTTGCAGCCTTTTCATAGTTCTAAATATTTTTGCATTTTTAAGTTGTCACTTAAATTCAGCATCAACTTTTCTCATGTGGTCCCCCAAACTAGTACCAAAGTAGCTGCTTTATAATTATCTGGTTGTCCTGTTTGTCCTTTTCAAATATTGGCCTGATGCTAACTTTGTGAGTGTTGTAGGATTTTCTGAAAACATACTAGACAAATACTTTCTGAGCATGACTTTTGGAACATGTTGCCTAACTACTAATTAAAAACAAACAAACAAACATTAATTCTTCAGAAGATTTTGTTTATTCTCTCAAATTACTGACAGACTAAAATGTTCTGCTTTAGCTGACAGGTTAAATAACTTGGCATAATATTTCCAAGGAGTTTATTGTATCATTACAAATTAGTCGTGGGGCTATAATCCTGTTTGTCTGTCCTTTCAGTCATGATACTTGTGATCATTTTTATTCTTTTACCCATCAGTTTGGTAACCTATGGTTACCACAGATAACTGTTAACCTGTATAACAACTTCAGAACAGCTTTCTCACACCTCGTTGTTAACGTGAGGAGTTTCTTATGGCTCATGGGACTGATTTGGAGTGGATTGGACCATGTGATCACATTGTCCATTGATGATCACATTGGTCCATTGATCACATGGTCCATTGATGATCACATTGCCTTCCAGGACTCATGAAAACAAAAACACAGGCATTGGATTCTTACCTGAAGCAAGACAGGCATACATATTTGAGCTACATTTGCAGATTATAGATCAAACTCTTTGGTACATGCTCCAAACATTCAATGAAGTATACCTGAGAAAATTTGCAGACTAT